GCAGGCTTTCTGTGCTTGCTACATGCACATATGTAGCCACCTTTACATTTAACTAGATAGAGTTAAGGTCCTTTGCCCAAACAATTAATCTCGCCTTGCTTTTTTCTCCCAATTTATACTCGTAATTATATGCGCAGAAGGCCAAATTGAGACTGAATGGTTGGCCCAGTATTTTCTTAATTAACCTTATGGATGAGTGAAATTGTATATTGAAAGAAAGCACTTTTTTGTAGCATATCACTTGTTTCTATGCTTCCCTGAATGTGCCATTATAACATATGTAATGAGTAATCTATCTATAATGATAAGAAAGCACTCAGTTATCTATGATTTATAATCTCACTTTCTGTTCTTTTTCCTACAAAATCAAGGAAGTTCAATGCATTGGAAATCAGAGAAGAAGGGTTTGTGATAAAACAAAAAGAAATCAGATCAAGGATTAAAGGGTTAAATGACCATCATGAAAGAAGTACTTTTAGCTGGCTTGTTCATCATAGAGCAAGAATGAATTAGAATTAAATTGGAAAAAAAATAAGAGAAGGGAAGGGAAATGATTTTTCCCCATAGAAAATAAAATGTCTAAATATATTTTATAGATACTCAAATTATGGGAGACAAATTAATAATAGTGAAAAAGTGTGAAAGAAGAGAAATGTAGACATGCATGTAATAAAATTAATCAAGGTAATAATTTTATTTATGTTTTCTTAATAAGGTTTATTTAAGTGCCTTTATAACGTCAATGAGTTCATGGAGATTTAACCAAAATCAGAGAACTATATTTCCTACCCTATCCAAGCTTGTAAGAAATATTTAACTTCAGTGCCCTTTTCATTAGACCCAAGATACTATCTATAAAGAAAAGTTTCCTATTTACTTAACCTGACATTTGCCATAGCTCCCCAGGCTATCTAATCCATTCTAAAATGTGCAAGTTACAAGAAAACTCTCTTTCTTTTAATTTTTCTCTGGATATAATTTTTGTTTTGCCTTTTTGACAACTGTAGTGAAATAAGGTTATTATAATCTTTCAGGCAGCTTAATTAGGATTGCAGTTTTTAATTATATTAATCAATTTGAAAAATTTTAATTAAACAAAAATTGCCCATGATTCATTAGTGGTTTTCATTAAGGAACGTATTTTAAAAATTGCATTTAACAAAAATTGAAGACGATGTCAATACAATATTTTTAAAAATCACATTTCTTGATTTAAAATATTTTTATTCATAATTTAAAACTATATTTTAAATATAAACTAAATCTTGGCATTAATTATTTAATATATCCTAATTTGTTTGCACCACTGTTCACAAAAGTTTTCAATACCAATTTGTGGGAGTTTCAAATGCTCATAGACCTGCATATCTTTGTTATACTGTGTAGATCAGACATGTCAAACTCGCGACGTCACATGACATCGCACAATGTATCGGGCCGGTTTTGCCATTGCCGGCAATAGGGTGGGTGCGGCTTCCGGATGACGCATCTGGCCTGCGGGCCAGCAGTTTGACACCCCTGGTGTAGATCTATATGTAATTGGTCTAGGCTAGTGTATCAGCTCACTTTTGAATCATTCTTACTCTTTTTCACTATGAAGGCATAATGAAAATAGAAATGAGGTCTACTTTGATAGTCATTCTATATGTTCTTTTGTCTCTGAACATACAAACTTTGTCATTATTTCCAATAGTCTGCAAAGAGTTTAATCCTGGCATGTCAGCTATATCAAGCCAATTCTTTTTTATTTACAGCATTAGTGGATTTTAAAGTGGAATTACAACAAATGAAGGTGAATATATGTGTCCCAGGATAATGTTGGTCCCGATGACTGACCCAGATTGGATCCTAGAATTACAACTTTACAATATAGGAAAAATAGTTGAATGTTTTGTGACTGGAAGAGAACAATTCTGAAAAGCCATTTTGCTTTTGCTTTTATTTCTTGTATGATTCCTCTGTTAAAGATGTATTTTCTCCTTTAGAATTTATTCTGACTTTTTAAAACTTCTGTGTTGTCCAAAAATTTGGAAAATACATATTCTTGGAAAGTGCTCACATTCTTGAGCATTCTTGAGATACTCTATTAGAGATGATCAACATTTGATTCATACAGGGGCGTTTGATTATGAGTATATTTCTTTTCAAGTCCCAAAAATACTTTTTCAAAAGGCAATTGGGCTTTGTTTTTCTTTGAAGACATTTCACTTCTCATTTAAGAAGCTTCTTCAGTTCTGACTGAATGGTGAACTGAACTGAAGAAGCTTCTTGGATGAAAAGCAAAATGTCATCAAAGTCCAGTTGCCTTTTAAAAAAGCACCTCTGGGTAATTATGACTAAAACAGGAACAAGAACCAGAAAACAGAACAGAATAGAATTGAATAACTTTATTGTCACTTTAAATGTACACTAATCGGCATACATTAAGACCTGGATGACTGAGAATCTCCATAGACATTTCTTTTCAAGAAAAAAGATTAGACTTTTTATTTTCTTGAAATGCCTGCAAGCCTATGTATGGTACAGAGGAATTCTTGTCATTAACAATATTACAGATGGTAACTTTGTTTTCTATTTGGTTATAATTAATAGTATCTTTTAAAATAAGAGAGGTGGGCATGAAACCTGGCAAATGCAAAGACTTACAAACAGTGATTTGCCTATTTATGTTTTGCTCCAGTCCTTCTGTCTCCAGTTTTCCTGATTTTGGCCTCAGATAACTACTTTTTCATGCCTCTCAACTCTTTTGAGCTTTCAATCTCAAGATGCTTTATATGAGCAAAAAGTACTTTGCAAATCATGAAACCAACAATGAAAGCATAAAACAGTAAATTACAGCAATTATTTAAAGGGTCCCAAAGGTGCTTTCTCAAAAGATAACTGGAATTTCTTTGTTTTACTTGAAGACATTTCACTTCTCATCCAAGAAGCTTTTCAGTTCTTCAGAAGCTTCTTAGATGAGAAGCGAAATGTCTTCAAGCAAAACAAAGTCCAATTGCCATTTGAAAAAGCACCTTTGGGACAACTATGACTGAGAATCTCCTTAGATATTTAAAAGGTCACTACAGTCAATCTCTGCTTTACTGTTTATGTAAAGTGCATTTAGTTTTGAAGGTTATTGGAACAACTGGGAGTTTGCATTTTTAATATTTTATTTAAATGTGACATGTTTTATTTAATTATGTTCTTCTGTTGAATTGCAAGAACCAGTTAAAAATACCTATATAATAATAATAATAATAATAATAATAATAATAATAATAATAATAATAATAATAATAATAATAATAATAATAATAATAGTAAAGTTGGAAGGGACCTTGAAGGTCATCTAGTCCAACCCCCTGCTCAGGCAGGAAACCCTATACCATTTCGGACAAATGGCTGTCCAGTCTCTTCTTAAAAACTTCCAGTGTTGGA